CGGGGTGCATAACGTCGTGATCGGCGGGCAGGGCGCAAAAGGCAGCGGCGGCGGCACGTCCGTGAGGAGTATGCGCAGGATGGGAGTGAGCAAGCGCACGCGTTGGGCGCGCAGTCGCGCCGCACCGGCGTCTGCCGCGAGCGCCTTCGCTATTGCGGCATCACAGGACGTGTCTGGGGCGTCCTTTGGCCTGGTAGGCGCCGCCGCGGAAGGGTCGGGCGACAGCAGCGAGTGTGGAAGCGGCGGTGCGGTGGGCGTCTCGTCGTCCGTTACGGGCGGCAGCGGCTCTGAGGGCGTCGGCTGCCCAATGAGCCTGCAGTAGGTGTCTATGTAGCTGCCACTAGAGGTCCGGCTTTCAAGGCGTTCAAGCTCATGGGCTGCGGGCTGGTCGGACATCCCGGTAACCAGAGTCGAAGCTCGCGCTTGTCTATTGACTGACGCGTCGATAGATAAATATAGCACTTGGACGCATACCCATGCAACGCGTTCATTACTGCCGGGCAAGGCTCGGCGCGCCGCTACGCCGCAGGTCCCAAAGCATAGCGAGGTGAGTGATGATGAGTCCTGCGGATGCTCTCACGGATGGCCGATGAAGATGTATTGCAACTATGCAGGGCATTTACATATCCGCATCTGGCACTAGGATGTCATCACAACGCACACGTATTGTGTGAAGTTGAGTGCTTAGTATTATCCATCGCGCTGACCGCCGTTTTGACCCATGCACGTGTTGCAGCTGTTTTGGTGGCACAACCACCTGGTCGTGTCAAGGACCACACCATTCTTTTGTCGAAGGAAGGGGCCGCCGCAGATGTGGGTGGCCTGTTGGCATGGAATGAGCACTGTCCGTACAAACAGTGAGCCCTCGCCGTGCTGCCGTGTCTCGACCGGGCATGGCTTTTGCAGGAGAACTTCACGCAGCATGCATGCCCGCATACGTGCATGCAGCCGCACCTGATGAAAGGGGTGGGTGGTTGTGTTCGGTTGTTTCAGTGACACCAGGGCAGCCTGCTCCTGCCTCTGTCGTCGTATCATATCAGGCAGCCGTCTTGTGATGATGTAAACTATGCAAATTAATCAGCAAATCTGATAGAAGTCGTGGAGCTGCATATACCGTAATCCTGAAAATGGGCCTGCTGCAAATTGCACTGGTGTCCTTGTGAAACCTTGAGCCACCCAGGCCCCTGCATGCAATGCAGTTGAATCAAACTTGTGGGAGTTGAGCACGTAGTATCGAACCTCATCCTCGGTCATACAGTGCAGACGTACCCGGCTGGTCTTTCTCGTTGTTGGCGCCCACCTCCTCACGAGCAATCCCCGAGCACAGTCTGCCGACACATATCAAGATTGTGGTGCAGCTCGTCTGCAGGCGAGGGGTCCTGTTGCCAGCACCAGCAAGCAGCGTTGCGTCGGATCAGCAGCGGACGCGCTCGCTGCGACCCGCTCCGCGCCACGGCGTGGCGAGCGGTGGAACAAACGAGCCGCGCAGCTGTGGCTGAGTAGGCGCGCTGCGCAGCGAGCCATAGTAAGCGGAGCCAAGAAGTAGGCGTTCCCTGCGGGATCTCTAGTCCGCAACGAACTCTGACCCTCCAGCACATGACACGAGCGGCCCGACACCACGGCGTCGCCACGCGCCGCTGACACGCGCGCCGCCGCCGCCGCCCCGGGCGCCAGCACCGACGCGCCGGGCACCGCCCCCGCCGCCGGCGCCCCAGCTCCGATGGCGCGCGGGCCGCTGGCCGACGCGGCGGTGCGGCACGCCGAGGTGGAGGGCGTCCTGTCCCGCGCGCGCGAGCTGGCGGCGTCCTTCGCGCAGCTGGCTAGAAGCTACGAGCTTGAACAGGCCATGGCGGCGCGCGCGGGGCTGGACAGGGGGCTGCCGCTGTATCAAGAAGGCCTGTGCCTGCTGCGCGGCTGCTGCGGCCAGCTCGCCGCGTCAGGGCTGATCGGTGAGCGGGCTGGGCTGACGCAGCGCAGCGCCGCAATGCGGCGGCCGTGCGGGGGGCATGCGGGCAGGCCCCTATGTCGGTCGACCGCATCCGGTCAGCATCTGATGGGTAATGCGCAAGCAGGCAGTGGATCAGCTGTTGGATGGTGCCGGCACGCGCGACGCGTTGTGAAATTGTCCTGCCTGTGCGGACGTGAACGTGTTGCGACGGGATCAAACATAACACCGCAGGCGCCGAGACGCTGCCCCACGAATGGCTGCCCAAGGCCCTGCGCAGCAGCACAGCCGCGGCCGCGGACGCCCGCCGCCCAGACCAGCGGCAGCGCGACCGCGCCCAGCCCGCCATTGGGACCGGC